CCCATCCCATGAGACAGAAGCGGCCCCTTTCTCTAGCATGGGAACATGTTACAGAGAGGGGGGCTTCTGTCAACCATCTAGTGGGGTAGATCTTTCCCCTAAGCTATAACATGAGCTCACATTTTCTAAACCTTTTTAGATAATTTTGGTAACTATACTTCAGAAACATAGAGAATTCCTTTGATTCTCCATATTGAAATCAAAGCAATACTGAGTAGGTAAATTTTCCTTCTGACTAGGATAGTTAGAATGAAATCCATTCTAGAAATAACACTGATAAATCAACAATTCACCTAAATTTTGGTCTTAATATCCACAAGGGAGAACATGTGGTACTTGTTTTTCTATCTGATCCACTTCCCTTAACATAATGTCCTCTAATCTCATCTATTTTTATACAAATGATAAGATTCTTTTATGACTGGATAGTATTCCATTGCACATATGTATGACATTTCCTTTATCCATTAACCTGTTCATGGGCATCTAGGTTGATTCCATATCTTGGCTATTGTGAATAATGCAGCAATAAACAAGACCATGCTAGGATCTCTTTGGTGTGCTCATAGTCATTTCCTTTGGATACATGCCCAGAAGTGAGGTAGCTGCATCATATGGGAGATCTACCTTTAATTGCGTAAAGATCCTCCATACCGTCTTTCATAATCACTGTACCAACTTACATTTCCATCAGCAATGTATGAGAGTTCCTTTTCCTCCACATCCTCACCAACATTTGTTTTTTTTCTTTTTCTTTGACAACTGACCTCTTAGAGGGGGTCAGGCGAAGCGCTGCCTGCCATTTCTGATATGATTGGTGTTGCTCAGCATATTTTCACGTCTCTGTTGGCCATCTGAATGTCTTCCTTTGAGTCACATTGACCTAGGTCTATTGGCCCCCCCCTTTTTTTTAAAGAGAGAGAGAGAGAATTTTTTTTTAAATATTTATTTATTTATTTTAGTTTTTGGCGGACACAACATCTTTGTTTGTATGTGGTGCTGAGGATCGAACCCGGGCCACACGCATGACAGGCAAGCGCGCTACCACTTGAGCCACATCCCCAGCCCTATTGCCCATTTTTAATCAGGTTATCTGTTTTGGGGCAACCGAGTTATTGGGGTTCTTTACATATGCTGGATATCAACCCCATGCCATGTGTATTGTTTGGAAATAATCACTTCTCCCGCTCAGTAGGTTGTCTCTTTACTCAAGAGGGTTTACTCTGCTCTTCAGAAAGAAGCACCTTAACACCCTGAAAAACTATTGAGGATCCCAAAGAGTTTTGGAGTTTAGGTTGTATCTACTGATAATAATTATCTTAGATTTTGAGAGTCAGAAATATTTAAAATTCAAGAACACAGAAGCACACATCCCTCAGCTATCAGAGACAACATCACATGTCATGTCACCTCTGGAAAAGATGAGATGATGGGAGTGAAAAAGAAAGTATCACCTTACTGTTATTGTAAAATAGTTTCATCCCTGTATTGCTACAGTATGACGAATACAATTCTTTAGGGTAAATACTGAGGAGCGCGGATTAGCTGGATGCCATTCCTCCAAACTCAGAAAGTCAAGATTCATATGTTTCCTCTCATGTCAAAGCTAGAAAGGAGAAAAGGAAAAGGAATGGTGGCGGAGATATCTCATGAAAGATAAAGGGAGACAGTAGAGAAGAGGAAAGGTACCAGAAGGAGAGGAAGAGGGGAGGGAAAGGACAATACTGGGCAACAATACTGGCCAAATTATATTGTTGTATTGTGTCCATGTATGAATATGTAACGAATCCTACCATTATATATAACGTACCAGTAAAAATGTGGAAAAACAGTTTTATCCCACAGACCCACTAAAAGGGCTTCAGAAACTCCCAAGAATCTTTGCTGGCGGGGAGGAAGATTGAACCCAGGGGTGCTTAACCACGGAACCACATCCCCAGCCCTTTTTATTTTGAAACAAGGTCTAAGTTGCTTAGGGCCTCACTAAGTTGCTGAGGCTTGCTTTGAACTATCGATCCTCCTGCTTCAGCCCCCAAGTCACTGGGATTACCCAGCCCCCCAAGACTCTTTAGACCATACTTTGAGAACCAATGGGCTAGATGATTGGTTCCTTGGGACAGCCCTTTACATAGGCCTATGGATTGAAGGGTTTGGCTGAAACCCTAGATTTTGCTTTGTAGTGTCCTAGAACTGTAGACATTGTAGGAATTGTTTGGTAACCCAAGCTCAGTGATAACCTGGGAACTGAATTCAAATATAGTGTTTTAATTTCTTCGAAGAATCATCGCTGTCTAACTCACCTCTGAAGAACTTAAACTCCCAAGTCACAACAGTTCTTGTGGAGCAAACCCATCACTTTGGTAGTTATATGGGGGAAATTTGTAGGGTTTTCAGAGACTGCTGAGGTTCCACATGATAATATTCCCTCCCTCCCCCGCCACCCCCCTCCACCACCATCACTAACAAACTTGTATTTCGGCAATTTGGTGGCATTTTAGGAGGTAATGTGTTTTCCTCCATTAATGATATTTTTCCTTCTCTTAGAATGTTATGTTAATGGCCAAGATGTGACTGGGTCATATTTAATGCTTTCTTTCCTTTATTTCTTGAATGACCGATGTGTGAAAGTGGGATGGGTGGGGAATGTATGAGGCTTCTGTTCCCGTGGCTTTCACTGAAAATGAAGCTGTACAATAACCACATTGAGCACTGCACAATGATGAAACAACATGTAGGCCAGGGTGCACCCTACAGAAAAAAAATATATATCATTAAGAAATATAGGAGTCATAAAGGAAAGAAAACTTACAGAGAATAGAGCCTAATCTGAATTTTTCAGTGAGTTCCCAGGAAACACTTGGTAGTCTATGCATTATTTTATTGATCCATCCAGTGCTCCAACATGTGTTCTCAAAATATTTCTGCATTTTATTTTTACCATGAATCTTTAGGAGTCTTCCCTGAAATCTTTATTCCTGTCAGGTCAAAGGATTGAGAATTAATTTGGGGACCTAAAGAATTCTCTTTGCTACTATGCACTCCTCTAAAATACGTCACCATTAGTCTTCCCCAGGACATTTGCCTTTTTTGAAGTTTTGTATAAATTAGCCTTGAAGATTACACCATAACTGAGGTTAGCATTGATTTATGACAAGTGAAGGACATACTCTTGGGTCTGTAAAGACAAGGACAAAAATTTCAACTTACCACCCTTACTAAAGGACTCCCCTTACCTTGACTCTCCTGAATTATTAATGAAATAGTTCACTACCACACCCTCCTTTTCCTAAATGTTTAATCAATCCTTCTCAATGATGTGCTCCCTTCAGAGGAAGAAAGGGAGGAAGGGAATTATTGGACTGCTGATCATGTATTGAAACATGGTTGAAAAGTTTCCATGTGGGGTGTTCCCTTCCCACTCCTATTCCAGGTGTTTCTGAGTATATAACCCTGGGTCTGTGTCTACCAAGCTCACTGTAGACTCACTTTTACCTTTCTTCTCTGGTGGGATGGGATCAATAGTGTCAGGAGCACAGCACCTAACATGGTGCCTTACAAAGAGTAGTTTCATAATACAGATTTGTTGGGAGAGGAAGAAATGAATGAGTCCTTTTCAGACAAACTCATCAGAAATTACCTCATTCTCTGTATGTCCTTTTCTGTTTGGCAGCTGACTGGCATCAAATTTTGTTTGCCTTTGTCTACAATGGCCAACCCTCTCAGAGTGCCTGGGGCTGAGGAGTTTCCTGTACTGTAAAATTGGAAAAGTCCCACACAAACCCAGGACTCTTGGTCAGTCACCTTGCCTTCTTGCTGGGAGCTATTTATTTTTCTTTAGTTTTCATCACCGGTTTCCCTTTCTTGTAAGTGTTTATAGATCACAGACTGTGGAGTCCGTGGTGAGAAGGAAAAAAGAATGTATGAACTATGGTGTGCTGTGGAGGTTCCCAACGTGTGGTCCCCAGACCAGCAGCATCAGCATCATTTGACAATTTCTTTAGAAATGCAACTGTTCACGTCCCACCCTGACCTACTAAATCAGGAACTCTGGGAGTGGAGACCACCAGTTTGTTTGAGCAAGCCCTCCAGGGGATTCTGATGCACACCAAAGTTTGAGAACTACTTGAAGGGAAGAGGCCTGTTGCTGAATTTCTAAGCCCAGTTCTGGCACTAAATGACTTGAGGCATGCCCTTCTATTTTGAACTTCAGTTTGTTCTTCTGAGAAGTGAAAGCCTTGGACTAGGCAGCATCTAAAGGTTCTGCCATTCTGTAGTAGTTATGCGACTTCGGTCATTTTGTCTGGCTTTTCATTGCTTAAGTTCTCTCATACAGGTACAGAACAGAAAATACCTACCTCATAGAGTTTTTTAAACAACTTTGTGGTTATTAAACTAAGATGTTCACAGCACACATTGTTGCCCAACAATAATAGCTAACTCTTACATAGTGCTGTCTATGTGCTGGACACTGTTCTAAGTGCACTTAATCTCCACAACAACCCTGTCGCCATTTTACAGATGGAAACAAAAAAAACAAAAAAAATAGAGGCAAAGAGAGATTAAGAGGCTTACCCAAGGTCACAAGGCTAAAATAAGTGTCAGACTTTAAATTAGAAACCTGAAGACAGTGGCTCCAGCGACAGTTCTTTTAACTAATCTGCCATATTGCTCAATAGATTTTGTTAACTCCCTCACCCTTTCCATGCTTACAGTCTAACCAACCATTCATAGACAATAATCATCATTCCCACTTTCACAGTTCTTCCAGCAAGATCTTGAAAGAACCATGAGCATATATAGATTAGTTTTGCAAGTAGTTTGAAAAAAAAAAA